GCTGGAGTTTGATCTCCAGAACCTGTGTGAAAGGCTGGCAACCGTGACACACGCCTCCAGTGTTAGTGCCTGAGAGGCAGAGACAGGTGGGTCCCTGGCATCACTTCAGACAACTAAGGCCAAGGAAGAGACCCTGTCGCAAAAGGCAAGGTGGTCAGTACCTGAAGAACGACAGCTAACGTTGACCTTTGTGGAACCTTCACTCTATTCACACACACACACACACACACACACACACACACACACACACACACACACACACACACACACACACCAAAATCCTTTCTTTAGTCTACACACACAACTTATATGAGGACTGGATTTCTAGTCTAGCTAGCTTGCTTTCAAAGTCCCAGAAATTGCTGGGCGGTGGTGGTGCATGCCTTTAATCCCAGCACTCTGGAGGCAGAGCCAGGTGGATCTTTGTGAGTTCAAGGCCAGCCTGGTCTACATAGAGAGATCCAGGACAAGCTCTGAAGCTACACAGAGAAACCCTGTCTTGAAACAAACAAACAAACAAAAGTCCCAGAAATTGTCACTGCTGGTTTCTTGCCCCACACAACCCACTTGCCATCTTAATACTGAAACAGGGTGAAGCCACCCCAAAGTCCTTCTTCCTTTTCTGAGTGGCAGCAATGACTGGGCCTTCTCCTGGGACAAGGAGTCAGAGGGGAGGATGGGAAGATGGGAAGGTGGTGGAGAGACAAAGACAAGGTAGGGGGCGGGTCTCTCCTCATCCCCTGGGTCGGGAGGTCCACTCAGTGGACTGTGGGAGCGATGCCACGGTGCACTTGTGGAAGTCAGAGGACAAGCTCCAGTGCCCAATCTTATTTCTCATCTTGTTTGAGGTGAGTTTCCTTGTTGTCTGCTTCATGCCGCAGAACCAGGCTAGCCGGCCTGGGAGCATCTGAGGACCCTTCTGTCTCACACTGGAGCACCAGGATTACAGCCACACACTACCATCTGACTGTATATGGGTTCTGGGCATTCAAACCCACATCCTTATAATTGCATAGACATGCTTTACCCACGGACCTGCCTTCCTAGCCACCTACTCCTTGTCTACCACACTTCTCGAGCCCTCCACCCCCCTGCACCTCTGCAGCCCGGCTTCTCCAGGGGCTCATGAGTCCACTCACCCCTGCCTCCTGCATCTCAGCCCCACTCGTCCCTCCCTGGTCCACACAGATGAGCCTAGCTCTCTGGCAGGCCACAGGGGCTTGGTCCAGTTGACCTGGGTGCAGGTACAGTGTTTCCCCTCTTAGCTTCTAAGACATCCTCGTGTCCCCTTGGGAGGACTAGTTACTCCAAGATGGAGCCATTGAATTTAGGCAGACCAAAGACAAATAAGGAGTCAGCTTCTGTAGCAGGGCCGTGAGGACACTCTAACGGTATTCTCAATGCAGCTTGCTCCTTCTCCATCATTGAGGAGCGAGCACTCAGCTCCAGGCCTCTTCTTTCCATCAGCATCTTCAAGTGTTCTCCTCTAGCAAGGAATACCCTTGTCCCCTGGGCCGGGAACACAGCAGCTTATTTTCCTACTAACAGATGGTGTGAATACAATGTGTATAGGGAACTAAAAGGGGTCTGAAGCAAATGGGTTCTGACCCTGTTCTGTCAGAACCGGTCTGCACCTTGTGCGAGCCAGTCCATCACTCAGAGCTTCTGCTGTCTGGGCCTCTGCAAAGGTGAACTATGGCATCTGTTCATCCTTCTGTGCCCTTTTCTCACTAGAGAGTAAATGACTATCCCAGTGAGCTGTGCTGGCCTTCTAACACAACAAGCCTTGGTGCTGAGCTCAGAAAGGGGTAGGCTGGAATACGGGACTGGAGATTTTCCACCTGTGGATGAAGAGAACAAACATATGGAGGTTGTAGAACATGCATTCAGCCGTGGATTTTAACACTCCTACAAGCCGGGGTAAGTCAGCTACGGGAATCACCCTACCCCGTTCTCTCATTTCACAAAAGGAGACCCTAGAGCTGAGAAGGGAAGTGATGTGTCCATCTCTTTTATTTTTTTCCTTGAGATAGGAGCTCACCATGAAGCCTTAGTGAGCCTGGAACTCACTAAGTAGATTGGCTGGCCTTGAACTCACAGAGACCCACTTACCTCTGCCTCCAAGTTCTGGGAGTAAAGGTGTGTGCCACCATGCCTGGCTTTTGTCCACTTCTTAATCCCTAGTGTCATAATTAACATGATTTTAACACAGGGACTGTTCCTGAAGGACCTCGTCTGCTCCTTGCAGCTTTAGGCACATCTGGGTCCTTCATCTCAAACCCCTTAGCACACACCCGTCCCCTGCCCTGCTTCCTGATCTTTTTCTACAAACAACTCCACCCACAAACAGGAAAAACACAAAAACACATCTGGAAATGGAGAGTAAGCTGCAGGAAACCATCAGAGTCCAGGAAAGAGGTTTGGGCCACACAAGACTGCAAACACAGAAGGTAACGAGTTGGTAGGGAGTGGCCAGCAGCTGCAGCCAGAGTGTTGACCTGGATAAGGAGGACTAGGGGGCACGGGGAGGGCAGATACACAGCTGTGCTTTTCAGCAAGACACTCTCCAACTCACCCCATATGAAGAGCCTTCCATCGAAAAGGAGCCTGATTGCTCACTCTTTTGGGGTGAGTGTGTGTGTGTGTGTGTGTGTGTGTGTGTGTGTGTGTGTGTGTGTGTGTGTATGTGTGAATTTGCATAAGTATGTGTGTTCTCTGGTGTGCGTGTCTGTATGTGTGTAGACATGGAGAGCAGAGTTCAGGTGTCTTCCTCAATCACTTTCCACCTTGCTTTTTGACACAGGATCTCTCAGTGAAGCTGGAACTCACTGATCCAGCTACGGTAGCCAGTCAGTGAGGCTGAGGGATCTTCCTGTCTCTGCCTCCTTGTGCCAGGATTACAGCAGAGACCAGCTTCTCAGGTGGATGCTGAGGACCAGGCAGAGATTCCCACGCCTTCACAGCAAGCCGTTGGCTGGCTGGGCAATCCCCCCGTCATTCACTCTTTAGCCCACAGGCTTCCAGGAACCTCCTGCTACTCATGCTGGGAACATCTTCCATCCCAGCTTCCCCAGCCCATCCATCTCTGCCTCTGCTTTACTTCCCATCCTCTGGGTCACAGCTCTGAAACCTCTTGCTGGAGGGCCCTGACATGGCCTAGGCTGCAAATCCAGGTCACATCTGACATGGCTCCTTCCATATGCTCCAGCCACACTTCACCCTTCACATCTTACCACCTCATCCAGACTGTCATTGTAGACCATCTCTCTGCTGGTCTAGAAACTGCACAGTGAGTCAGAGATCCTGGCTTTCTTTCTTTTTTTTTTTTTTTTTTTTTTTTTTTTTTTTTTTTTTTTGGTTTTTCGAGACAGGGTTTCTCTGTGTAGCTTTGCGCCTTTCCTGGAGCTCGCTTTGGAGACCAGGCTGGCCTCGAACTCACAGAGATCCGCCTGCCTCTGCCTCCTGAGTGCTGGGATTAAAGGCATGTGCCACCACTGCCTGGCAAGATCCTGGCTTTCTAATTCTCCACCATAGACCAGTGCCACCAACAAGCACTCACTGGATGAAAAGTGTACACCTGTATCACATCCACTCTTTGAAACCAGGGAAAACATTCTACTGCAGGGGCTGTGGAGATGGCTTAGCAGTTGAGAGCACTTATGCTCCTCAAGAGGGCCTGGGTTTGGTTCCAGCACTCACACTGGACAGCTCACAATCACTTGTGATTCTAATTCCAGAGGATCTAGAGCCTTCCTCGGCCTCTGCAGGTACCCGCACCTACAGGGCATCCATAAACACACATACACATAACAAAAATAAATGAATTTGTCTTTTGAAAATCCGTTGCAGAAATAGACCATAATTTGGTCACCTGATGGTTGGGTACTTTGAGAGCTGCCACGGTATCAGTTCATTTCCTTGTGGCTGTGACGAAACACTGGTGACTTGATTAAGGAAGGAATTCTTTTGGCTCAGTTTGAGGGAAAGTTCATTGCAGCAGCTCTGTGATGGCAGGAGTGTGCGGCTAGGACCCCTCACATCTTGGCAGACAGGAAGTGAGACCCAACTAAAGAACCCCAAGGCCTGCCCACCAGTGAGGGACTCTTCCCGGGAGTCTCCACCTTCCAGTGATTCCACGACTTTTCAAAACAGCATCACCAATTGAGGATCAAGATTTCTTTTCTTCTCTCTCTCTTGCTCTCTCTCTCACTTTCTTCCTTCATTTTCCCCCCAAGAACCAAGATTTCAATACAAGAGCCTACAGGAGAGATTTCTCATTCACAGCACACCACTTTTCTCTAGTTTTACAAATATAGAATTACACTGAGAATTTTTCAGATTACTTAGTGTGAGCATTAAGTCAACTTCTTGAACTAAAATCCTAACAATGAAGCTGCTGGGTCCCAACATACACGTATTTAAATGGGGTTTTATTCACACCCCCAGCTTGTGCTTTGGGGGGTCTGGCTTCCTAAAGGGTCTTAGTCACCCTCTTGTGGCTATGACAAAATGTCTAACAAAAGCAGCCTCAGGAAGGAGGGGTTATTTGTCTCACAGTTTGGGGGCATGGTCCGTCACGACGGGGAAGTCATGACAGCAGGCATGTGAGGCAGCGGGGTCACATGGCACCCATAGTCAGGAAGCAGGGGATGAATGCTGTGCTCAGCTCACTTCCTCCTTTTCATCCACTTCAGGACCCCTGCCCATGGGATAGTGCTGCCCACATTTAGGGTGGGTCCTCCCCCCTCAATTAATCCAGTCTAGAAACTTATTCATAGAAATTTCCAGAGGTTTGTTTCCATGTTAATTCTAAATCCCATTAAGTTTACAATGAAGATTAAGCATAGCAGCTAGTGTGTGGTACCTTAGGGTCCATTTGTCCTCAACCTCAGTAACATTGGCTTTTTTTCTTTTTGCAAAAAGAAGCTGTTTGTTTTCTGTTGCTGTGATTAAAAAATACTCTGATAAAAGCGATTTAAGGGAGAACGTGTTTATTTTAGCTCACAGTTCAAGGTTACTGTCAATCACGGCAGGGAATTCACAGCAGCAGGAGCCTGAGGGTCGCAATTGTGTCCATGACTACAAAGCAGCGAATGAGGAGTGGCTGTGTTCAGCTTGTTTTTTCCCCCCCGCTGATGCAGCCCAGGACCCTCTGCCTAGGGAATGGTGCTGCCCACAGTAAGCTGTGTCTTCCCATCAGTAAGTCAGTCAGGGTGGCCTCCCACAGACATGCCTCAGGGCAACCTGGTCAAGACAGTTCCTCCCTGGGGCTCTCTTCCTGGGGGATTCTAGATTGTGTTGTTCACAAGTAAAGCAACCGATCACGTTCCGCATTGTTTCACACAGGGTATTATTAGCATTAACCATCTTGGTGAAACCTCTCCTGTCACAGACCTTAGGAGGAGGTGCAGGACTATGGGAGCTCACACCCTTTCCGGAGCACCTTGAAGGAGTTGTTGTTACCTGGGGAGGAGAAAGTTCTCCAGCCGCTGAAGTGTCTGCTGAGTGTCCCATCAACCCTCACAGTCACCAAGCTCAGAAGAGGTAGGGTGCGTCTATTTTGCAGAAAGCTAACAGAAATGGTTATAAATAATAAATTAACATTATAAACATGCAAATATCTACTTGTAATTACTGTGTGCAGCTATTTGCAGAGCAGTTTCAAAGTCTCATTTAATTCCCAAACAACCTACCACACAGACATTTGTAATGTATAATATCTATACATAATAATATTTATAGTGTATATTCAAACTTTTTAAATTCTTTTATTTTATTGATATGTGTGCAAATGTATTCCCATGTGTATGCACAGGTGCCTGAAGAGGCCAGAAGGCATTGGATCCTTTGGAGATGGAGTTACAGGCATTTGTGACCTACCCAATGTGGGTGCTGGGATCTGAACTCGGGTCCTCATAATGGAGCAGCAAATACTTCTAGCCAGTTAACTGTGTTTAATTAAGAGAGAGACAGAGAGAGAGAGAGAGAGAGAGAGAGAGAGACAGACAGACAGACAGACAGAGAGACAGAGAGGATCTCATGTAACTCAGGCTGGCTTCAAGCTCACTGTGTAGGCATGGATGACCTTGAACTTCTGATCCTCCTGCCTCCACTTCCTGAGTGCTGGAGTTACAAATGTGTACTTTCTTGCCTGGCTTTGAAACACTGGGGATCAACCCTAGGTCTTCCTACACACTAGTGTACATTTCCAGCCCTGTGTGCAAATTTTTGGTGTAGTGTGTGTGTGTGTGTGTGTGTGTGTGTGTGTGTGTGTGTGTGTGTATGTGTGTGTGTGTATGTGTGTGTGTGTGTGTGTGTGTAGTATGCAGTATGTGTGTGTAGTATGTATGTGTGTATGTATGTGTAGTGTGTGAAAACACCCTTGCACACAAGTAGGGCCTAGAGAAGGATGTTGAGTGTTCTGCCTCATCACTCCCTGTCTCATTCCCTTGAGACAGGGTCTCTCACTGACCCTGAAGCTAGGTTGGCAGCCCCAGCAATTCTCTTATCTCTGCTCCCCACAGCAGCGGGCTTAGAGGTGCTGGAAGTCATGCCCAGGTTTTTAACCAGGAACTGGGGATTTGAACTCAGGTCTCCATACTTTCACAGTAAGACCCCTAACCTAGTGAGTCTTCTACCTAACCACTCGTACACATGAAATGTCGACAAGTTCATTAAAGTAATGTTATGGGGGAAAGATGATCTCCTCACCAAATGTACTGAAACAACTGGAAATGAGTCTTCCTAAGCCTCAGGACTTTCTTACCATCATCTAAAGATGTAACTAGATGTGGATCATAGGAATGGCTACACTAGCGGGTAGTTTTGAAATGATGCAAGGAAATATGGGGTGGGGTAAGAAATGGTAGCCTTGAGTTAGTAAAGAATTTCTTGAATAAAATGCGGGAATACACGGACCATAAAATAAAAGGATAAATTGAACTCGGTAGAGCTATAGATCAGGGGTAGAACATTTGCTTAGCATGCATGAGTCCCTGGATTTGAACTTAGCACCAAGAACAAAGATTTTTTTTTGAGTTTTTTTTACATTGTTTGAGAATTTGTACATGCATATGTATTTGGGTCCAATCCGCTCCCATTTCCTCTCCTCTACCCCCCCCACCAACTCCATGTACCATCTACTGGGGCATGGGTAGCCTCTCCTCTACCCTCCCCCAACTCCATGTACCATCTACTGGGGCATGGGTAACCTCTTCTGCCAAGTCCCTGAAGAGAACCGATTCTCCCTCCCTCAGCAACCATGAGTCACCAATGCCCAACTGTGTGGGGGGGTACTGCTTGAGACCCCCTTCACCCCTGCTGGGATTCTGGGTGGCTTGATCCTATGCTGGTCTTGTGCACACAGTCACAACTGCTGTAAATTCATGCATGCAGCTTCCAGTTCATGTGTCGTCACATCCTGCAAACACTGCTTCACTGATGATATCCCACTAACAGTCTTTCCATCCACTCTGTGATGGTCCCGGCTTATTGGGAAGAGGGCTATGATACAGCTGTTCCATTCAGAGCTAGCACTCCACGGTTTCTTCTTCTCTGTTCGTTCATCAGTTGTGGGTCTCCGGTATTGATCACCAGCTATGGTCAAAAGAAGCATCGCTGATGAGAATTGAGAAATGGTACTGATGTATGGATATAAAAATAAAAATGCATGGAGCAGTTCAATGCTGCACCTATTTGGAAGAATAATAGTATCAGCTTCTCCCCTAGGGCCTGTGACCTAGCCAACCACAGACTATTGGCCCATTCAATGGAGCCAGGCCTGAGTTCTGTCTTGTGGAGCAGTCTTTAAAGACAATCACAAAGTAATTGGTTACTCCCGTAACATTTGTGCCACCATCTCCTAGTGGGCATATCTTACCAGGCCATTTGTTACTGTAGCTCGCAGGGTTCACAGCTGGGTGATAATTATCCTGTGTAGAACCTTGCAGCACTTATGAAAACTACCTGGTAGGCATGAAGCTTCCAGATCAGTACCATCTTGATTTCTTCATGTATGTGGTGTCTTCAGAAATAGGATCTTACTGTCAAGTTCTGGAGGATAACCCATAGCAATGGCAATAGCCTGTAATGTTAGGGGGCAGATTATGGGTTCCTACTGACCAACAACTGGGAAAGAGATAACCCACACCTGCCACTGGCTATTCATTTAATAGCCTATAAGATAAACAAATAAGCCAGGCACTGGTGGTGCCCACCTTTAATCCCAGCACTCTGGAGGCAGAGGCAGGCAGATCTCTGAGTTTGAGGACAGCCTAGTCTATGCTGTGAGATCCTGTCTCAACAAAACAAAACAAATGATGATAAATGTTGGCGTAGGCATGGGAAAAGGAGAGTCTTATCCACTATTGATGGGAGCTCAAACTGGTACAGCTACTATGGAAATCAATACGGAGGTTCCTCAAAAAGCTAGAGACAGACCTACCTTACAATCTATTTATACCACTCCTGGGCACATTCCCTAAGGACTCTACAGTGTACTACAGAGATACTTGCTTATCCACGTTCTTTGCTTCATTAGTCATAATAACCAGGAAATAGAAACAGCCTAAATGTCCCTCCGTGGATGGCTGGATGAGAATGTGGTACGTATACACAGTGGAATACTACTCAGCTGTAAAGAAAAACAGAAATTATTAAATTCACAGGTCAATGGATGGATCTGGAAATAAACATTCTGAATGAGGACACCCAGACCCAGAAAGACAAATGCTGCTCTGTGTGTCCTCTCTTTGAATCCTTAGATACATGTTTGAGTTGGAGTGCCCAGAGAAGGCAGGAGATTAGTAAGAGGGGGTGGGGAGGGGTTTTAAGGAAGGACACTAGAACACGGGTTGTGTGGAGGAGGAGAGAGGAATAACGGAGCAGGAAGATTAAATGGGATGAGAAAAATGAAGGCAGGGTACTGGGGGGCGTGTGGGGAGTGATGATGAACACTGGACCTTCGAAAATGCTATGTGAGTGTAGAAATACAATTACTCTAAACATGGTTTTCTTCCAAAGATGCTATTAAGAAAATGAAAAGACAGGGGCTGAGGATGTAGCTCAGTTGGTAGAATGCTTGAGTAGTGTGTGGGCTAGTTTTATGTCAACTTTACACAAGCTAGAGTCATTTGGTGCTGTGGGATGTCTTTATGTATGCTGTGAATATGTGTTGCTCTGATTGGTTAATAAATAAGCTGCTTTGGCCTATGGCAAGGCAGCTTAGAGGTAGGCAGGAAATCCAAGGAGAGAGACAGAAAAGAAAAAGGCAGAGTCTAGAGAGACACCAGCTGCCCTGAAGGAGAAGCAAGATGCCAGCAGACCAGTAAAACCACAGAACACGTGGCAAAACATAGATTAATAGAAGTGGGTTAAGTTATAAAAGCTAGCTAGCGAGAAGCCTGAGCCATTAGGCCATACAGTTTGTGAGTAATATAAGCCTCTTGTGTGTTTACTTGGGTCCGAGCAGCTGCAGGATGGGTGAGACACAAGAAAACTTCTGACTACAATTTGGGAAGAGGGGATCTCAGTTTAGAAGATGCCCCCACCAGATTGGCTTAAGGGCAAGCCTGTGATATATTTCCTTGATTGATGTTTGGTGTGAGAGGAACCATTTCATTGTGGGTGGTGCCATCCCTAGACCGGTGGCCCTGGGTGCTCTAAGAAAGCAGATTGAGCAAGCCATATGGAGCAAGTCAGTGAGCATCACTCCTTCATGGCCTCGGCATCAGCTCCTGCCTCCAGGTTCTTGCCCTGACTCCCCTGGGTGATGAACTAAGCTGTAAGATGAAATAAACCCTTTCTTCCCCAAGTTGCTTTTGGTCATGGTGTTTTATCACAGCAATGGAAATCCTAACCAAAATACCTAGCATGGTCAAAGCCCTGGGTTCTATCCCCAGCACTGTATAGACCAAGTGTGGTGATGCACACCTGTAATCTCAACACTCAAGAGTAGAAGCAGGAGGGTTAGAAAACCATGGTCATTCTCTGACATACTGTAGGTCCAAGGCCATCCTGGGCTACATGAGACTCTGCCTCAGAAAACATAGGAAACAAGGGAGGGAAGGAAGGAAGGAAGGATGGGGGTGGGGGAGAAAGCGAGGGAGAGAGGCAAGCTACTGAAATACTTTAGCATGAAGGACTCTCAAGATAAAGCCCCTTAAGGAGAGAAATAGGGTGCAAAATGCTAGAGCGTAGGAAACACCATTTGCTCAAACTTCTAGAGGAGAAGAAACTATAGAGACAGAAAGTAGATGAGTGGCGGCCAGGGGCTTCTGGTTGGAGATGTTGATTGCCAGGGATGAGGAAGGAACACCAGGGTCATGAATAATTCCCCTCTTGATAACAGCAGTGGCAATGCACTCAATATATTTATCACAGCTTACAATACACTGCTAAGCTGGAGGGTTTGGCCATAAGTCTGTTATAGTCAACTAAGCTATTTATAGGAGAAGAGGAGGGGAAAAGGAGAGGAAGGAAAGAAGGAAAACTTCATTCCTATCATAACCCAGGCACTCCACCTCACAGAGAGCCATGCATGTGCACCAAATGAACATTCACGGACATTCACAGCAGCCTTATTGGTTATGGTCTCAATCAGGAACCAAGCTGTAAAATGCTCTACAATGTGTGCACACACTTTCAGTTCCACTAGAATGGAGGAAAGCCCACCTTGGCAGTGTGCACCATCCTAGTTGGTTCTCAAATCCATAATGCAGTGTCACTCAACACACAAGGCTATGTGTCATACATATCGTGATACTCACTGGAACTTCGGACACAGACAAAGCTAGTTTGGGTGATGGAAATCTAAATTGCACCAACTATAGTGAGGATCCATGAAAATGAGGAAAGGGGAAGCCTCCTGGGGTTGCAATGTTGACTGTCCGGGTCTAAGTGGAGCTAACCAGGTATTGCTTGGGAAACTGGACAGAGCATAAAGCACACTTTGATATATGTAAGTTAGACCTCAATTAAATGATTTCCTTAAATTCAAGAAATACCCAGAGATGGCTCAGTGCCTGTCACATAAGCATGAAGATCTGACACCCATATAAAAGGCTGAACATGACGGTAAGCCTTGTAATCCCCATGCTGGGGAGGCAGATCTGTCCAGGGGTTAGATCTCTGGACCTGCTGACCATGCATTTTAGCTACTTAGTGAACTCAAAGCTAGTGAAAGATCCCACTCTCCAAACAAGGTGGACAGAGCCTGAAGAGAAATGCACAAAGTGAACATTTGGTCTCCACATTCATGCACACACATGTATGCACACCTACACACGTGCATACAAAGTGTCTAGCCAGTCCAGGTTCTTGAATTCAGACTTAGCAGACAGCTGGGCACAAGTTTTTATCGGCTGCTTTGACTACAAGGACATGGGTGTGACAGAGAATGCACCGGGCCTCCGTATGAGCTTGTTTGACAGTTTTGCCAGAGCTGGGAAAATGACAATCTGTGCAGTCACGTGTTTCATGTTCAATGTGCTAATTATAACCCTTTCTTATCTGCTCATGGCATCTGATTTCCCAACCCCTGCCTCCAGGGCCCTGGAGCCTCCCAGGCACCTAATTGTCACCTGCCAGTCTCAGGGTCGGAGGCTTGGGCTGCTGAGGGTGGGTTGTTTCCCTCTTTCTCCTGCCAGCCCCGTGCCTTCCCCACCACGGCGGACTGTACCCCGTAACTAACTGTGAGCCAACATGAACCTTCCTTCCACCTCTCTTAAGTTCCCTCATCCAGTATTTTTTTTTTTATGGTTTTTTGAGACAGGGTTTCTCTGTGTAGTTTTGGTGCCTGTCCTGGATCATGCTCTGTAGACCAGGCTGGCCTTGAACTCACAGAGATCCAGATGGATCTTATCTTTGCCTCCTAAGTGATAGGATTAAAGTGTGAGTGCCACCGTTTTCTGGCCTCTGTGTCTGTCTAGTGGCTGTTCTGTTCTCTGACCCCAGATAAATTTATTAGGGTGCATGATATATTAGGGAACACAATATCACAAGAGAGAGAGTATGCAGGTCTCCAGCCTTAGCAGCAAATGCCTTTGCCCACTGAGTCATCTTGCTGGCCCATGGTATCTACTTTGAACCCCTCAGCGATCTTGTTTAGGAGAAATAGCAAAGGTAATATCCTTTCTGTGGTGGTTATATATATTCTCTTGGTTGTGTTCCTCTAGAAAACCCCGGCGGAGGGTGGGGGCTACAGCTCAGTTGCTAGAGGGCTTGTTTTTAATACGTGTGAGAGTATATAGTGCATATGAGTGCGGGTGCATGTTGGGTCCAGAAGAGGACCTTGGGTCCCCTGGAACTGGAGTTACAGGCACTGTGAGTTGCCTAATGTGAGTGCTGGGAACCAAACCTGGGAGAACAGCAGGTACTCTTAACTTCTGAGCCATCTCCCCAGACCTACCTGCCAGCAGCCTGGGGTTCGAAACTCTGTCCTGTCACTTTTCCAGCAGCGTGACTAAAGGAAGATCACAACTGAAGATCACAGTTGCCTGTCTCTGAAAGAGGGGGTGTTAGTTGGCTCCTTCCTTTCCTCACCCCTTCTGAGACAGCATCTCACTGTGCAGCCCTGGCTGGCCTGGAACTTCCTATGTAGCGACCAAGATGACCTTGGACTTTTTATCCTTTGCCTCTAACAGCTGGTTGTTATGATTTTTAAAGATTTATTTTTATTTTTAATTATGTACGCACATTGGTGCAGTGCCCATAGAGGCCAGAAGAGGGCAGTGGATCCTGCAAATGCAATATGTGTTTTTTATTTATTTGTTTGTTTGTTTGTTTGTTTAAGCCCAGTTCCTCACCACCTCCTCTCCCATCTGGATCCACTCCTTTTGTCTCACACTAGAAAAGAACAGGGTTCTAGGAGATAACAACAAAACATAACAAAATAAAATATGATAAGATAAAACGAAAATCATCATATCGAAGACAAACCAACGGAAAAATAAAAGGTCCCCAGGAGCAGGCAGAAGAATCAGAGACCCACTCATTTACACATTCAGGATCCCACAAAAGCACTAGACTGAAAACTAAATATATGTGCAGAGGACCTGGTGCAGACCCATGCACGCCCTGTGCATGCTACTTCAGTCTCTGAGTTCATATGAGCCTTGCTCAGTTGTTTTAAAGAACCTTCTTTTGATGTCCTCAGTCCCCTTGGCTCCTCCACTCTTTCTGCCTCCTTTTCTGCAGAATTTCCTGAGCCCTGAGGGGAGGAATTTGATGGAGACATCCATTTAGAGCTGTGTGTTCCAAGGTCTCTCTGCATAATGTCTGCCTGGGGGTCTCTGTATCTGTTCCCATCTGCTGCGGGAGAAAGCTTCTCTGATGATGACTGGACAAGGCACTGATCTGAGTATAGCAGAATATCATTAGGAGTCATTTTATTGCTACACTGTTACTATTATTTTTAGATCAGTAGTATTTGGTTTTGCCCTAGGTCTCTGGGCTATCTCGACTCTAGTTCTTGGCCCCAATATGTGCTCTCAACAGCTGAGTCCTCTCTAGCTACTCATTATTATGTTGTTAAACTTGTTCATTTGTAGATGGACACATAGTTGACATGTTTTGTGTATCAAATAAGCATTTCAAAATCGTCATAATAATGCATAATTTGTGGGACCGTTGTAAAGAATAAACTTTAAAATGCAGGCAAAAGCTAGGCATAAGGGTGAACACCTTTAATCCTAGCACTTGGGAGGCAGAGGCAAGTGAATGTCTGTGAGTTTGAGGCCAGTCTGGTCTACAGAGTGAGTTCCAAGACAGCCAGGGTTATGTAGAGAGACTGTGTCTCACAACACAGACCAACAAATACAAAGAACTGGCCTCAAGAAATGACAATGGTTATGTCTGTGAATAATGTCACCCTCTTTATAAACCATAGTCAACCAGCTCTACTCTATAAATTTAGATGCAAGAACATACACACACACACACACACACACACACACACACACACACACACACACACACACACACACCCCTTCTGTGTGTCAGCATATGGCAGAGATGAAAGGAGGTGGAGGGGACATAGGGGTTGGTGAACTTGAGAAAGCCCCTTTTCTGGGAGGTCTAAAATTCTCAACTCCAAGAAACCTGTAGCTCTTGAACCACCTGCACGTTGCCGGCTGTTGATGTAGTATCACAAGATGGACACACGATGGCGCCAGAAACCATTATTTGGAAGTCGGTTCGCTAGGGCTCCCGGCTTCCTCCGCACTGTGGTCCTCACCTACCAGAAAGAAAATGTCACTGAGATTCTAAGCTGCCTCCATGCATCTATCTATCAACTCATGAGAAGTCCCACAAATCTACAGAAGCATCCAGATTACCTAGGGGCCGGGAACTATGGCTCATATGGAAAGAGAGCTTGTCCAGCATGCAGGAAGTTCTGGGTTTTGTTACCAGCCGGGCATAAAAACAGGTGTGGTGGTGCATGCCTATACTTCTGGCACTTTGGAGGGAGAGAAGTTCAAAGCCATCCTCTACTACACAATGAGTTGGAGGCCAGCCTGGGCTACACGAGACCCTGTCTCCATAAAAGAAGGATCAGTTGTTCAATATGTAATGTTCAATATGTAATGTGAAGGTTCTAGCAATCACATTGCAGAAAAATGAGGACAAACACAGAGTTAATTGCATAATGCATTGTATTTAACTCTGAATATTTAGTATGATTCTATTAGTACATAATCACATAAAAATGTTGATATACTCTAGATCTGTGTGTGTGTGTGTGTGTGTGTGTGTGTGTGTGTGTGTGTGTGTGTGTATGCTAGAGGACAACCTCAACTATTGCCCCTCAAGCACTGTCCTCTGTTTTTCTTCAGTTTCTCATTGGCCTGGTGCCTGCCTGTGGGCCAGGCTGGCTGGCCATTGACCCCAGAGATCCTCCTGTCCCGGTCTGCCCAGCGATGGGGTCGTGAACACACGCCACCATGCGTGGCTTTTTAGCACATGGGTTCTGGGGATTGAACTCAGGTCCTTGTGCTTGCAAGGCAAGCACTGTACCAACTGCGCTGTCTCCCCAGCCCCCAACTTGTTGATGTCTGTGGACCTTTGACCCAGTGTGCTCTAAAGATCCCCAGCCTACCTCGGGCTGTTGTGATAATATGCTATTACATGGAGGAACGCTTTTGGCTTCCAGGCCCCACCCCAATGCCGAGGAGCCTCCACTGTGGAAATGCCTGAATTCAAGAAGAAATCATTTTCGCAGAAGGCTGGTATTGCCCTGAGGGCTGACAGTGGGGTTGGGGGTGGGGGGCATGGGTAGCCACATTGGAACAGAAGCTTCCAGAACAGCTTCTTCAGAAAAATTATTTTTCTTTTCCCCGCTTTTATTGAAAATAGATTTTCCCCCCTCGTGTAGCATATTCTGACCCCAGCTTCCCCTCTCTCTACTCCCAGCGCCCCCTTCACCCTTTCCACTCTGATCCACTTCCTCTCTGTCTCTCATTAGCAAGCAGGCTTCTGTGGGATAATAATTAATGCAATATATTATAATACAATATGGTAAAGCAGAAACTAACGATTTGGAATTGGACAAAACAGACAACCAGAAGAAAAAGAGGCCAAGAGAAGGCACAAAAAACAGAGAACTACTCATTCTCACACTCAGGAATCCCACAAAAACCACCGAGCTGGAAGCCATAATATATATGGAAAGGACCTGGAGGGTAAAAAGAGAGAAGAAACAATATATAAATAAAATAAAAATAATACCCTGGCAGACATTATGGGAGAAGGAACCTCCAAAGGTGTCGTTGAGTGTGTTTTCTGTTGGCCGTCTACTGCTGGGCGTGCAGACCCCCTCGGGAGTGGTCTGTTTCCCGGGCGAGACTCCGGTGGAGGAAACTTGATTTTCCTTCTCACGTGGTTATCAATTAGAGATAGCTTCTGGGTTAGGGAAGAGAGTGTTTTTCCAACAATTCTCCTGTAGTGTTAAACAAAGAGATCCAGTGCTCATCACCAACAGATAGGCAAGCACAGGCACACAGAAACCACACAGACCTGGGGAGGGGTCACAGGGGTCTTTGGTCTGGGAAGCATTGGTAAAGGCAGCATCCAAAAGCACCCAGACCACCTAGGGGCCTGAACACCTCCACAGCCCCTTCATCTGCTGTGTCTGCCTGTCCTTGTGCATCTCACCTCTCTGCCTGTGGCCTGTGGCTTAGCACCCAGTCCCTCTCCAAATCCTCATCTCCTTCATTCCCCTTCCAGGAACCAAAATGCCATTAAAAAAAATATCTCTCAGGGTCAGAGATGTAGCTCAGTCAGTAGAACGTTTGTCCAACACTCATGTAGTCCTGGGTTCCATCCCTGCCTATAAGTCCAAGTCCTGAGGTAGAGGAAGGAGGACCAGAAATTCAGGGACATCCTCAGCCATACAGAGTTTGGGGTCAGCCTGAACTACAGGAGGCCCTGTCTCAAAACAAAATGGAGATAGCTCAGCCGTTAAGAGTTCATACTGTTCTTCTGGAGAACCGAAATGCCGCTGCCATTACCCAAATCAGGTGGCTCATCACAAACTGTAACTTTATCTCCAGGGGATCTGATGTACCATTCTGTATTCATAGGCACCCACATGCACAAGGCAGACATTCACACACACACACACACACACACACACACACACAGACAGACAGACATACACGCAGGCACGTGTGAAAATAAAATAAAACTAAAAGAAAAAGCATTTGAAAGCAAAGTTGTCATGTTAATTACCTTTTCACCCTTTCTTCCAGATGTCCAAGGACCACAGACTCCTTTCATAAAAGGCAATTGCTCTGTGCAGCCTCAACCAGGAGAATAAGCAGGGGATATGAAAGGGGCATCATGATTGCCAGCCTGATGGTCCTGGATGTGTATAATCTCTATGGAAACTGCCTCCACCCCTGTAACACTGGGAGTAAGAATATGTTTTGAAAGATTTATTTTGTTTTTGATTGTGTGTATCGATGTGCCTAGACGTGTGTCTGTGCATTTGCGGGGGCAAACTCCCACTCAGTCTACAAGAGGCTGTTGGATGCCCTGGAGCTAAAGTTACAGGTGCCCAACATATGTGTGGAGACACTAATCCTGGTCACCTGGTAGAAGAGCACATGCTCTTAACCTCAGAGCTGTTTCTCCAGTCCCAGGAATGTTTTTAAGTTGTAAGATTTGTGTGGGTTTCCCCTCCTTATCTGAAGAAGCAGGATCCTAGCAGAAGGATGCTGGCCCGGAAGCCAGCTCCTGCCCTTCACTAACTGGCTGTGGGAGTTGTCCTGTCCTGCAGCTCTGTGTGCAAGGCTTTGCAAAGCAGAAAGCAGACAGGAAGACCCTTAAGCCTGGATTCCTCCTCAGAAACAGAAAACGAAAAGTGGTATCCTGAACTAGGCATGACTCACCTCACATGCTGGCTGCCCTGAGTTCCACCCCCAACACCACATAAACCAAGTGGAGTGGCACGGGTCTATCATCCCCGTGTTTGGGACGTGAAGACCAGAGAATCAGATGTTCAAAACCATCCTCAGCTACACAGTGACTTGAAGGCCAGCCTGGGTTACATGAGACCCTGTGTCAAAAACCCAAAAGTGTTACTTTGAAAGAGAAGGTATTTCAAGTTAAAACAAGCTGGTGGCTGGTTTAAACTGGAAAATTTTGCATTCAAAACTCAGTTCACTCTTTTGGAATAAAACCTATATACTCGTTTTGAAAAGGAAGAGTGTCCCCACAGGGCAGGAAAGGCTGAATCATAAAGATAAAAAGAGGGAGCTGTGAGCGGAGGAGATTTGAATTTATCAGTGTTCCCCAAGTCGAAAGTGAAATCAGAGCAAGCTCAAGGGTGAGGATCCCCATTAAAGTCTGGTGGTGACTCTGTAAGGCCTCAAAGGCCCAGAGATTTCTGGGTGGAAATTCCCCACAGCCTCTGTAGTGAGTCACGGCAATTAGCTGCCCTCAAAGCTCTGCTGGTTTTGGCAGGCACTGGGGACCCAAATCATGGGTCCCGTACGGGCAAGGAGGCTTCTAGAGAGAAGATAGGAGAGGGAGAGATGGGCAGTGGAGGGAAGTCACCTTAAAAAGAAGCTGCTAGTCCCGAGGCCAGATGTTTCATCAAACTAGAGAAATTCGAGGGGCAATTTAGAGGGCTTTTCCGATGGGAAAAAAAAAATCCCAAGAAGGGACTAGAGAGATGGCTCAGCAGTTAAGACCACTCACTGGCTGCTCTTCCAGAGGACCAGGTTCAATTCCCAGCCCCCACAATTGTCTCTAGCTCCAGTTCTGGGGATCCAATGCCCTCTTCTGACCTCCAGGAGTGCATGTGATGCCCAGACATAAATACAGGCCAAGCACTCATGCATACAAAATAAAATAAAAAAGAAAAAAGAAATCAGAGAAGCTAGGTGTGGTGGGTGGTACAAGGCTTAAACCCCAGCACTCAGGAGGCAGAGAAAGACAGAAGGGGTGTAAGGTCAAGGCTACACAGCCAGCTTCCGGGCAGTTGGAGCTATGTGGTAAGCAAGGAAAGAAAAATGAAAGGACAGACGGGTTTGTAGGCCATCTATTAGTATTTAAATGTTAAAGGTGGGTGGGGAGTGTAGCTCGGTTCGTGGTGGGCTTGCCTTGCGTGCACGCAAGAAGCTCAGGGTTCCATTCTCAACAGAGCACAAACCAGATGTGACGGTGCACGCCCACCCGTGCTTAAGAGGTAGAGGGAACAGGGTCAAAGCTCAGGATCGTCCTTGGCTACAAAGAGATCGGGATGCCAAGCTGGGCTGCATGAGCCAGTGACTCAAAAAGAAAGCAGAGAATGGTGGTGCGCACCTTGCACACCTTGCACACCTTCAGTCCCAGCTCTTGGGAGGCTGAGGCAGGCCCATCTAGATGAGTTGGAGACCAGCCTGCTCAGTATAGCAAGTTCCAGGTCAGCCAGGGCTATACAGTGGGAGGGGGTATAAAAAGGAGGGGGGGGGAGGGAAGAGGAGGAAGGGAGAGAGGGAGGAAGGAAAAGAAAAAAGAAAGAGAGGGGGGGAGGAGGGAGGAGGTGAAGAGAAGAAAGGAAGAGGAAGAGATACTTTCCATAAAATGGGTTCCCCAGTTCCAGTTCCTCCCCGACACCGTGAGAACAGAGACACTGAGTTTGTCTGATCTGGTGTGAATGTGACTGAGGCCACAAAAACGCACTCTGAAGAAAGCAAGTCAGGGGTCAGAGGCAGCCACCCTCTGAGCATCCCAGGGTGCCTTGTCCAAGCTCCTCCAGCAGACTCCAAGACCAAGCCACCCGCTCCCCGCAGCCCTGCTCTCACACCTCTAGAAACAGAGTGCTCTCAAAGTCTTCCTCCACTCAGGACTGACGTTGCAGGGCTCTCAGCCAGAGCCCTTCCATCAGACCCTTGTAACTGGGGTAGGCGAACACACAAGAAAAGAAGCAGCAAGCCAAGGGCCCAAGGCTTGTGCAAGCCCACATCCCACGCCTTTTCACTCACCAGCAACTTGAGGTGGCCTTCTTAGAGGAAAGATCAAAAAGCAGGATAGCCCCAAGCCCGAAAATACACAAGAACCCAGGATCCCAAACAACACGTCAGAGCTGCAAGGTGTTGGAGGCAGGTAGTATCTGAACCTTGAACCACTGGAGCTGGGGGATTGGAAACAGTCAAGGCATCCTGCTCACCTGGTCTTTGCTCCCTAGAACTCTGCTGTTCAATCCACAACACCATCCTATGATGCAGATGTTCTTTTTCCCCCCTAATTGTAGCATTCACACATGCATGTGTGTGTGTGTGTGTGTGCGTGTGTGTGTGTGTGTGTGTGTGTGTGTGTGTGTGTGTAGGCATGTACCTATGAATCTAAGTGAATACAAAGACTAGAAGGGGGTGTCAAATGCCCTGGAGCTACAGTTACAGGCAGTGGTGAGCCCCTGGATGTGGGTACTGAGAAGAGAACCCAGGTCTTTGGAGCAGTAAGCGTGGAAGCACTCATAACCACCATGCTGTCTCCAGCCCCAACTAGTTCTGTTTTATAGGCAGCTTGGCTCCAGGGTCAGAGGCTGCAGTTATTTGGTGAAGGAAGCCGGTATCCAACCAGTGCTGCCTTCCAGGCAGTTTTGGGGTGGGGGTATCCATATGGCTAATTCAGCACCTATGTATGCTGAGCCTAAGAAGAAGTGAGGTTCTTAGCCTAAGAAGAAGTGAGGTTCCCCAAACTCCTCCTAATACTTTGGGCTCGGCATGGGGCTATCTGTGAATGTGCTTCTTAGAACATAATTACCACCATCAAGATTATTGTTCGAATTAGGCATTTACATGACACTTAATATTTCCAAAGCATTATACTCCCGTTTAATTAGTTTTTCCTTGCGACATTCCTGTCGCGTCCACACTTGATAGCTTGGGAGACTGACAGACTGAAGAGATAAACAGCATAAGCCTGATGGAGAGGGGTCACACCCTATACAATCTCTTAGCTTCTAGTCTCTCTGGTGATCCAGCCAAGATAAGTCACACACCCCCATCTGCAAATCCTTCACACCAACCTCCAGCTGCCTGGGGTCAAGGCAGCTCCAGGAGAGGAGGAGAGGCATGGAGTCTCTTCCCTGGCAGATTTTTGGCAAAAGGTCCAAATACCACTCAGAAAAAGTCCAAGTTCACACTGCAGACACCCTCAGTGTCTTTCCAAACCTCTCTATTAAAGTGCCCTATAAAATCCAGGGCTGTGATTCCCAAACCAAAGAGTCTCCCAGAGGGAGCTTTTAGCGTCTCCCAAGCCTAATGGGGCTGTTAAATGACAGAGCAGAGCAGGTCAGCCAGCGCAGGGCTCCTGAGACTGAGACTTCTTTGCCTTGAATCCCAGCAGGATGCTCAGAAGCCCTGGGTCCCTCTCCTCCCTCCATCTTCTCTGGTTAAAGGAGAAATTTCATGGAAAAATGGATGCTAATCTTTAGGAGCCACCACCCTAGGAATACAGCAGCCCTTTCTCTCTGCTCTCTACTGCAGCAAGCCCCCTGCCTCATCTCTCTGCCCAGAAAGTCCTTAACCTCGTCCTGTGTACTAGAATCAAAAGAAGCTCCATGTACACTAGGTCTGGGTTGATGCAGGTTCTGGGAAAAACAGGTGGGGTGCCCTGAATAGGTAGGTAACCAGGGTCTGCTGGTAAAGCTGTTCCTTGGTCTTCTCCTTCAGCCTGAAGATCCTTTCTTCCATACCCCACACCCACCCACAACTCCAGGCATCGGGTATGGACAAAATGCCGATGGACATGTAGACAACTGCAGGGACAGGATTGTCCAGCAGGACTGGTAAACCCCAGATTCTGTTGTTGCTCAGAAAGCAATCTGGAAAAGTCTTGAGTCCTGGTTACAATCCTTCAGTAGGGAAACCAACTGTGAACTGAGGGGTCTGCTCAGAGGGAGTGTTTCTGGCCAGACACCTGCCACTCTAAGACCCGTGCTCAGCCCCTGGGGCCTCTGATCTTGGAAGCTAGTAGCAAGAAAAGAAGCAGATAGCATTATTAATGGGGAGGGGGATTACGACCTCCTCTTCCACTGGGCCACTCTGTATGACAACTGGGAGGGAAGATCCGCTTGTGTACCTGTTCAATCCTGTGCCCAGGGCTCACAGTGATCACTGAACCCTGGGAAAAGAGGTAGGACTGATGGACTTAGGTGAGTCCAGGAGCATAAGACCCACCACTAGAATGGGTCTGCAGGACCGCTGGTCCCCATCTGGGCTCTTCATTTTTTCTTTTTTCTCTTTCTTTTCTTTTCTTTCTTTCTTTCCTTATTTTTTTCTTTCTTCCTTCCTTCCTTCCTTCCTTTCTTCCTTCCTTCCTTCCTTCCTTCCTTCCTTTCTTTCTTTTTTTGAGGTGGGGTTGGTTTTTTGAGACAGGGTTTCTTTGTGTAGCCCTGGCTGTCTTGGAATTCACTCTATAGACCTGGCTGGCCTCAAACTCCTCAGAGATCCGCCTGCCTCTGATGGGATTAAAGGAGAACACCACCACCACCAGGCGGTTCTTCATTTCTTACAGGCATGCCCTTGGGGCCGGTTATATTTCTCATCCAGTTTCTACCTCTGTAGACAATGGGTCCTCTACTGTTCTGAACTGTACAAGAACAAGCCCAGACACATGCTGGTTAGTCTTCCAAAAGGAGTGATAGTCAAACCCACCCCGCCCCCATCCCTCTCCTGTCTCTAGTTCTCTACATTCTTTCTATTTTTCCACCTCTCTTCCAAGCACGGGCATAGAAAACCCTCCTGTTGCCCACTGGGGAAGGTAGGGCATGAGATGCATTTCCTGGGCTCTGGATGGTCCTGGCCTCAGGCATCCCTCTTCTGTCTGCTTCTATCTGGGTTCCAAGGGCCACCAAGAGTGAGTGCGGGCTGCTCTCAGGTCTCAGGAAGGCCCCTCTCAGCCACCGCTGACCCCAAGGTGCTAAGGCAGGAAGGCCTTAGATCTAAAGTGTGGTTTAAAGTCTCACAAGTGGAATGTTGAGGACAGGGACAGCTAAACACACAGATGCAGTCTAAGGCCTCTGTTCTCTTGGGTCTCAGCGGGAGTTCAGGTGGCGGCTGGAGAGGGCAAATTACTAGAAGTCTGGACCCTGCCCCTTTTCTAAATAAGAACCCAGGCTATCACACACCCCAACCCCTGTGGGAGTGGGCCTTCTGAACTCTGGAATTCACTGCTTTTGGAGGGGTGGAGAATGGAGCGTAGGTGGCCTCAGAAGGGACTCTCACAGGTTGGAGAAATTCGACTGGGGTCCTCTACATCAACGACAAAAGGTCCCAGGTCCCAAAGGCTGTCTCTCTGAAGATTTGTGAGCTTTATAGGATTTTGCTTGAGCAGGTGGGCCATCCCAGCCACCTTGAGCTTCAAACCCAGATCTGACCTTTAAAACCAGAGCCCCTAGGTCAGCACACAGAGATTCAGACGGTCAGGTCCCGTGCAGAGCTCCCAGGGAGGGGCACCAGCGACTTCAGCTCCTAAGGCCGGAGTCCAGCGTCCCTGCGAGCTGGCTCCACCCTCAAACTCCTCCGAGGTCAAAGCTGCTAGAACTTGAGCCCCTAGTAACGCAGATACTGCCCTCTTCGCCGCACCGGTTTCTAGGCTTCGATAATTAGGAAAGCTGAGAGAAGTTTGAGCTGTCCTACATGGCTCTCCACGCAAGCTTGCTTTTTTCTCCTGTCCCCGGTCGGTCTACCAGCTACCTCCGGACCTCAGAAACAGGGTACCCTCCTCGTGGGGACTTTCTAGGTCCTTGCTCTCTGCCAGCCTTGGCCCTTCTGACTGCTGCCTAAGCCGGAGTCTTCTCATCTAAGCTATGCACCCACGCATCCATTGGGTCTCCACGACAGAAATTCTGCCCGCAGTGCGCAGAGTGCAAAGTGAACGAAGTTTAGTCTGGCTGAAGATAATTAAGTAGGGGCTGGACAGATGGTTGAGCAGTTTGAGAGCAGAGCGCGTTTGAGAGGAATTGTTCTTGGCAGTGGACCTGAGTTTGGTTCCTAGCACCCAAGTCCGGCTACAGCCTCTGGCTTCAGCTCCAGGAGGTCTGATGCCCTCTTCTGGCCTCAGCAGGCACAAGTACACACATATACATGAATAAAAAATAAAGTAATTAAGTGTTCACGGGCCAGCAAACATTCTAACCCCGCTCAGAAGAAATCTTGGGAGAGCTGAGAAAGGGTTAACTGGTACACTAGAAACTCTACACTAAATAAGCACATAAATTAGGTTGTAGATAGGATGTGGTTAGTGGAAAAATAGAAAAATCAGGCACAGGTTGTCTACAGTAGTACTGTGTGAGGTCAGTGTTTGATTGAAAGTCAGGGTTGGGAGCAGATCAATCCAGTTCAGTTCTCTGCGTTTGAGAATAAGGAAATCAAGACTCAGAGACAATTGGCATCTCATCCAAGGTCACACAGCACAGCACTGGCTGACTGGGCATGGGAACCTAGTCCATACCATTGTCTTTTAAGAATTGTATTTTAGGGCTCTTTTCTCTCTAATTTTGCCTCTACTGAGAAGAGAGGATCCCAAAGAAATCGTTTTCCAGGGGATTTTGATCTCTCTCCTTTCGGATATCAATTGTTACCCAAAAAGCCAAAAGCCACCCACCCGATCAAAACCCAAACCCTGGCTCACAGCCGCACCCCTGCAGTTCTCCAAACGTGTCGACAGGTGGCACTTTCCTCACAGGCAAAGCGGCCGGGGAATCCTCTGGGCCACCCCTCAGCCTAAGTGATGCTCTTCCAAAAGAAAAGGGGAAGCGACTCAGATGTTCCGACTGAGTGTGGAACTGTTGGAAAGCCTAGACTCCAGAAGCCAGGTTCCACCTTAAAAGAGGCCAGCGGGTATCCTGCGGGGAGGGTAGGCTCAGTGGTCCATGGGGGTCACCCCTTAGAGGTGTCAGCATCTCTCAGCTAGCAGACACCCAATGTCTCACAGGGCAGGTCGGGAGCTGCCTTCTCGGCTCCAGCCCCAGCACCCACCGACCTCCTAAGGTTGCCTTACGTAGGAAAGGGAAGAGTAGAGGGGAAGCGGGGCGCCTTTTCAATTGTGGCTGCCATTGTCCTAGAGACAGGTCGCTTAATCTGTTCATTCATTATTGTCTTCGCCTTTAATATTTGGCTTGGCTGCTTTGATGGCTGGAAGATCACACTCTTGACTTTGCATAACAATTTTGGGGCTTGGGGCGGGTGCCTTCGGTGCAAGGGGGGAGAGATACGCTAGGAACTGGGGCCAGTTTTTTCAGCCCTCAACCTCCTCCCCACCGCCTCCCACTCCCCTCGCTCCATCCCCGACCTCCATCTCCCCTTCTTCACATCCTCCAACACCCCCTCCCCCACTAGCTACCATTCAAGCCTAAAAAGTACTAATTAATGATGCTGCAAAGAAAGAGACAATCTTCGGTGGTTGGAGAACGGGACCATTCCTTCCCCTCCCCACACCTTCACCAAGACAGGCCTCCCTTCCACTTGCCACACATCGGAGGAAATGATAAACTTTGGGGGATGAACGGAGCTCAGTGTACTTACAGGAGACCACCGCTCCCTGCACTCTCCTGGGACTTAGACCCGAAGACCGTCCACGGCTCCCCTGGCTGCTAACCAGGAGAGCCCTGAGGCAGGCGGCCTTCTCGGTGGAGGTGACCTAAGTTCTCCCCTCTCTGAGTCTGTGGGCAAGGCCTTTGGCTTAGCCGGGTCCGGAAGGTCTCTTCTGCTCTTGACCTTGGAACATGTTGCCCAGCCCTCCCCACAATAAAGGCCACAGTTGTTGAGGTGAGTCTGAGTTAAAAACCAAAAAGCCAATGGCTGTTTAAATCTTGGTTTTAGCATCCTCTTTGCACCTTTCAAAGACAGTCATGGGAGAAGGAAAGAAAGAATTAGGCCTCTAGCAGCTAGTTTGGGTCCTTGCGACTTCACAGGCTTCCAGGGCTCTCGGTTACAGAGACCCGCTACCCCCTCCCCAAAACGCACACAACCGCGCAGAAGCGACAAGCGTAGACACACGAACCCAACCTCAGGCCCATGTAAACACCAACCGATGGGCACCGCCCACAAGCGTAAACCAAGCACCCCAAGGTACACACTCTCACACACGTGCACTCAAACCAAGTCTTTTACTCTGAGGGTTACATACAAACACCCCCACCCCCACCTCTACTGGAGCAGGCCCAGGAAGGCTACGACCCGTGAAGTGACTCCTTTGACTGAAGTATGATCCCGGTTAGGAAGGAGATGGGACGGGGTGGAGGAAACTCAGGAGACCTGGCCATTCTTCTGGTCGTACCCTTTAGTTTCTGAGGCTTTCCTTTCCGGCGTCTTCACCTCCCAAACAAAACTTTTTCAAGTTTCCCAGTCAGTGACCCCTGCAGCACCGGTCTCGAATGGACATCTGAGTTTATCCAGCACCTTGCCTGGGAAGAGGGTCCCCACACTGCAGCTCCGGAGGGCTTAAGGGAGGAGCCGCTGTGATTTCACCGAGGGCCTGTCGGGAGGGAGACGGGAAGGCGCTGGCCTGAAGCCCGGCGTTGGGAACGGGTTCTCGGATTTCTTCCTCCTCTCGGGTCGGTGGGAGAAGAGCCAGACAGCCTCGTCCCTGAGTGTCGAGAGAAGGAGAAGGAAAAAAGACCCTTCGGCAAGCAAAAATAGCGCAGGTTTTGGATTCTCAGTCTCTCTCTCTCTCTCTCTCTCTCTCTCTCTCTCTCTCTCTCTCTCTCTCTCTCTCTCTCTCTCTCTCTCTCTCTCTCCCTCCCCCCCCCCCCCCCCCCGTTGATTTTTGTTTATTTTTTATCTCGGACTTTGGAGAAGGGTCCAGACCTCCTCGGGAGCACGAACCCACGACAGCAAACCCGGAAGCTTCTCTGCCCCTCCTCGCTCACTCCCACCCTTCACCCTCCTCGGGTTTGCAAACACTCGAAGCCAGTAGGTGTGGACCCCGAACCGAGCCGGATCCAGGTGGAGCAGCCACTCAGACAGGTGGGGACTGGCGTAGGTGAGGGGGCCCGTCGGGCCTGGGGGGTACTAGTGCTCCCAAACTTTCTAAGGAGGGAGGAAACTAAAGAGGCGGGGAGCAAAATTAAAATAAAAGATGGAATGTCTAGGTGAATTAACTCGAAATACTTTTTTTCCCCCCGGAGAAAGAGAGAGTAGTTGGATCCAAATTGGAGTTTGGGTAGGGTTCCGTGTACGAAGACAAACGGGATATTTGATTAAAGAGAATATATATATATATTGGAGAAGTGTGTGGAGTCTCCTTGATTTCAGGTGTTACAGGGTTTTTAATCCTTGGGACCAGGGCCAGTCTGACTGTAAATAGTTCAGCTCCAGAACCGTTTGGGAGGGGGTGGGGTTGAAGACTCTGCTTGCAGTTGTGGGTGCCTAGGAGCTCTGCATCTCGGCTAGTGGCTCTCGGAAAGCACAGCCTGGAACTCGGGAGGGAACCTGCTAGCTTCAGCGGCTGGCTTCAGCGTTCCCAGGGACCGAGAAAGCGGGACCGGGGAACTCAGGGCCCCAGAAGGCCCTTTGGTATGAACGTAAGGAAATCGCAACAACCCCCAACCCCCATTTCTCACAGCTACGGGAACGGTGTGTGTGTGTGTGTGTGTGTGTGTGTGTGTGTGTGTGTGTGTGTGTGTGTGTGTGTTAGAGAGAGAAAGAATGTTTCCAGAATAAAAGGTCTCCACGTTTGGGGAGGGAGGAAATACATCCAAATACTGGAGTGTTCTAAGGTGACAACCCAACCCGCGAGCTTTTTCTGGGGCTTTCTAGGAAAACAGATTGTGGGGTGGGGATTCATGCACAGAGGTGGTAAAAGAAAAAGGGAAATTATTATCTCAAAGCCCTTCCCACACCCAGGACTTTCCCGAGGCTTACAAACAAAAACTGCCATCCTCAATTCGTGGGTCAACTAAGCAATGTATTTTTCTGAGGTTCGGCACCAAAGCCTGCACCCAGCTCGCTGACTTCCCCCACCCCTTTGATGGCCTCTCCCTGTACCACTTCCTGCTTCTAACAAAATTCCTGAAGATCTTTAACCAATACCCAAGGAATCCCCCTCCAGCACCCACCCACCCCCATATTGTTATACCCTCCAAATGAAGACCCAGCCCCGAGCGCTAATTGAATTAGTCTATTGAAAAGACTGTCAGGTACAATCACTCGGCTAGAGGCCTCACATTTCCCAAGGTCTATAGGCTTTGGGGACCTGCAATGTATAGTCTGACCTTCTGGCTCATGATAATGCCCGCACTTGTAGCAGAAATCTCCTCGTATTCACTCTCAACAAAACCGCTGGTCACCCAGTCCCCGTAGGAAGGCTGCACGCTATTGTGCTGGGACAACTCATTCATGTCCCGCACCGCGAGGCCCCACCGCCATCTGATCCACACTGGAAATGGGATTACCACCCTGTGCAGGCAACACCACCTACTGCAGGCCACTGAGCTCACTTCTGAGTGAAGAGGGGTGGCTTTCGGATCTCCACTCCCACCCACTCACTTTTAAGGTGGGAACTGGAGGGAACCCTCAGATTGTCTCTGCTCTCACAAAATCCAAGAAGTCTTCAGAAACCCCTCAATGGCAGGAGGTCTATCCCCTTCTGAAATGTCACACACAGTGAACGCTCAGCAAACACACTTCTTAGTGGGCATCAGTGGGGCTGACTTGGGTCCAAGGCATTTGAGGGTCTCCTGTCTCCTGCACGGTTATACACCAACACATAAGCAATGCTTTTGCAGACTGGGTTTCCCCATGAGTGGCTCTCACCTGCATGGGGGAACAGAGGCAAATACAAGGAGTTAACTGTTTGGTTGTTGTTTACTAGATTTGAAATAAACTTTCTTAGTTTCTCCCCTTAGAAAACTCATGTCTTCTCTTTGTCTGATCTCCTATTTCCCGGCAGCCCCCACCCCCCCCCCCCTCCTCAGGCCCATATGCAACTCTTCCCTCTAGCCAGATGTCTTTTGCATGGAAGTCAGAGTTGAGCCTCAAGGAATGGAGGATGCTTAGGGATCGGAGATGGTTGGAGGGCTTGGGGGTCTCTTTATTCCGTGTATCATGGTTCCCAGCCCAGGAAGCTACTTTTGGAGGGTTAGCAACACTCCCATACATTTTGGCCTTTGAAACTAAACAAAATCTTTTTCTTTGTCGTGTTTTTCCCCCCTCCTCCGAGTTCACTTAGGCTGGGTATGAAAAGGTGTCAATGGGGACAGTCAATCTTTTGAGGCGATAAAGCCCAGTCCATAGCCCATTTGCACAAGTAACTACCCAGCTTGAAACTGTAAGGCAATGGAAGAACATGCTGATCTGCACTAGTTCCTATACTTGGGACCCTGGAGCTGATGGCTTTTGGAGAAAGGGACTGCATTCCATTCCGGTTCGATACCCACACTTGCTTCCGACTGCCTTACCTGTCTGCCTTCCTGGCCTGGGCATCTATCGAGTGGCAAGACGTCCCTTAACTACCCAAAGCAGAAGAGAGTATCTTGAAAAAACGCGAGGACTCCAATGCAGTCACACTGGCATGCATCTCTGCACACAGACATCAAGCCCCTTTACCCAGATACTTGAACACACCACTCACCCTGCCCCTGCTGTAGTTCCTCACCCACATGCCAGCCCTGGGCTCGGAGTTCTCTGGACCCCCTCACACAAGTGTCTCAGCCAATATTTGCTCACTCAGCCTGCACACACCTCACGCCAAGGACGTCAGCACAGGCACATATAGTTCCCAACAGTAGGTTCAGTTTTAGGAGGGAGAGGAGGGCGTGGAGCCTGGGTGGGGGTCGTGGAGCTCGGGGCGACAAGTCTAAAGGAGCATCCGTCCGGGGCTGGATCTGGGGGGTGGAGTGGGGGGACAAGCCAGTGCGCTGCAGAGGAGCTTCGCCTAATCCAGCCGGAGCTCGTGGGCCGCGGGTGCATTTATCATCCCATTACTGTAACAAATCCGAGCTCTACTACATGAAAGGTAAAATGAATTACCGACGTTAAGCCGTCAATAAAGTCATTTCTGTAAATGGTGTCTCCAAAGGGCCGCCGCATTATTCAGCTGGCTTTATCAGCTGGCTGGAAATTACGTACAGGACCGGGCCGCGCGGCGCGCGGGGCCGCTCACTTTGATTAAACGTCTTGCCAGCGCTATGTGACAGAGCTTTTGACCAGGGTTTTATTCACAGGCCTGTGATGAACGCCAAGCTGATCAGGCGGAATGAAGAGTAATTAAAACCTATAAATTATCTTCCGCAGCCCTTCTCACGGCGTCTCCTGCAGGCGAGATAAGGCGTCGAGACCCTATTTACGGCGCTGAAAGGGACCGCGGCGCACAAAAGCTACGCGGCTAAATAGGATATTGATAGTGTCCTAATTAGAATTTAATTAAGTACCCACGGTCGCTTGCGGGATAAAGATTTCAATTTTGCGAACTTAAATATAAATAAAAATCCCACCTCTATTTCGGGGGGAAGGAGCGAGGGCAACTGGAGATTTCGGGGAGCCCTTGGGTTAGAAACAGAAGGGAACCCACGAGACGGTACAGTGGATCTGGAGTGGCTTCAGAAAGTTCGGGAGACTGAGGTGGCCCCAGAGACGCACTCTGGAGAGGTTCTCGCCATCAGGCCTCAGCACAGTACGTTTTGGAAACTCAGTCCGGGAAATCGGGAGATCCTCGGCTGAGCCGAGATGCAGCTTGGAATACGAATTCCCGGCTTCTTTCTGTCTCCGGGACAAACTTCGCCTCACTGCCCGGTTGGACTTGTGGGTTTGGTTGTATATTCTTCCCAACCTAGCCTCTGTGGCATTATTTTTTTAAACTGGGGGTATAGAGTTTAACTCTTTTGTCCCAAAGAGATAGACAGAAACTAGACCATTTGGGGATGGCGATCAGGGAAGGCCTCCTTTACAGGGGCTCAAATCGGCTTTCTTGAACCGAAGGCTTCAGCAGTCTATTCGTCTGCCGACCCTCCAAAACAGCTCCCAGGCAGATCACTCCCTGAGCCGAGCACCACCCTTCACTCCCTAGCCTTGGTTATGGAAAACTTTTGAAGCACTTTCGCTAGGAAAAAGAGGAAATGCCCAGAATATAGGACCGTGGGAGCTACTGGAGGCGTGAATATTCGGGGCTCCGTCCCAAGTCCAGTTCTGTGAATTCAGCTATCCTAGAATTGGGGTAACCCGTTGTCCATGGTCTTCAGTCTGCCAAGGCAAACATTTGAAGTGGTTTTGTTGGTTTGATTTTTTTTTTTTTTTTAACCTAGCAGGGAAAATCTAACACAGAGATTTCCCTGAACTTGAAACTCAAACCCAGGCCTTGCAAGGCGGCACAACACGTCGCCGGGCTCAGGGGCTCTCAGGAGACAATTCTACCGGGCTATGACAACCTGAATTCCCCGCAGCCCAGGAAGGATCGGGCGGCAGGCGCTGGGGCTCTTCCGTGGCCTCTGGGCATGGCTCCACGGCGTCCAGGCAGCTCGTGGGTGTTGATGATCCAGAGAAGGGCATGGCTGCGGATCTCTCCGCAACAGCGTGGCTAGGCAGGGACACAAACCAGCAGGGCCAGCAAGGTGTAGCAGGCCGCTTAGGTTTGCAATTAGTGGAAAACAAACTGTCTCTCTGAAAGTAGCCAACACTAAGTTTTTTGTTTCATGCCCGATATCTTGGTTTCATTCCTTCACACACACACACACACACACACACACACACACACACACACACACACACACACACAGAGAGAGAGAGAGAGAGAGAGAGAGAGAGAGAGAGAGAGAGAGAGAGAGAGAGAGAGAGAGAATGAGAATGAGCTAAATGTTTCGGGCGTGCGCTGGAGGGGGGGGGGTGCATAGTAACCCAAGTCCCTGCCGCCTGTCGCTGTCCCCAGCGCTCACGAACCCATAATCCTGTATTTCTCCAACAAGTTGTGGAGTTGCTTCTCTTATCTGCCTACTACATTCCAAATTCTAGTTCTCTCGGATATCTTCGTGCCCTCTTCAGTCCGGATCTGAAGGAGGGGGAGGGGTGTGGGCACAGATGGGGGCAGGGCGGGAGGACGTACCGGGCCCGAGCCTCTGCACCCCCTCTCCACCCACGGCCGCCGCCCCCGGATTATTTATCCGCAAAGTCCCGCGCGCAGCCATTGGACCGAGCCCTGAGTGTCAGCGCGAGCCGCGGCTCGCCATTGGTCCCGCACACGTGCGGCCCTGACTCACGTGCTTCCGGTTTGAAGGCAAAAAGTGTGCCTGGGTGATTTTTTTTTTTTTTTTTAAGCGAGAGAGTTTGTGCAAAGATCCGAGCTGTCAGAGATTTCAGGGGGGAAAAAAAGGAGCCCGGCACTGGCGGAGACGCACTCTCCCTGCAAAAAAGCAAAGGCGATTAAAGGCGCTGCCAGCCTCGCGCTCTGGGCACAGCTGAGCGTGAACCTGGGGAAGTCAAACCCCTCACTACTGCCTAGGAAGATGGGTAGACTTTAAAGACTATTTTTTCCCTTTAAGAAAAAAAAAATCTTGGAGCTTAAAAAAAATCCTTTTTCTTCTTTTTTTTTTCTTTTCTGCCCCCCTCGTTTTTTGGGCCGTGGTTTACTCCCCCATTAAGACCAATCACTGAAATCTGGTTGCTGAAAGAAAAAAAGAGAGAGAAAAGCAAAGAAAAGAAAAAAAATAGCCAAGTGTCTTCTCTGTATCTGGATGTCTACAAATTAGAGAGAGGGAAAGAGCGAGATCTGCTCCACCAGAGCGGGCGAGAGCCAGGCCAGACGCCCGGCTTTCTTTTTTGCCTCCTGCACCCGCCCTGTGCCTTCGCTGAGGCTTCGCCTTGACTCCTTCCTCCCCGCGCACCCCCACGGGCCCGCTGGCAAAGTGGGGTGGGGAGCGAGGTGCGGGGGGCGGGGGCCGGCGCGGCGGCGGCCAGGGCTGCCGGGCGGCCGAGCATGGAAGAACAGCAGCCGGAGCCTAAAAGTCAGCGCGACTCGGGCCTCGGCGCGGTGGCAGCGGCGGCGGCGGTGGTGGCGGCGGCGGCCCCGGGCGGCCTCAGCCTGAACCTTAGCCCGGGAGCCAGCGGCAGCAGCGGCAGCGATGGAGACAGCGTGCCGGTGTCCCCGCAGCCCGCGCCCCCGTCGCCGCCGGCGGCGCCCTGCCTGCCGCCCCTAGCCCATCACCCGCACCTCCCCCCGCACCCCCCGCCCCCGCCGCCGCCGCCGCCGCCGCCGCCACCGCCGCCGCCACCGCAGCATCTCGCGGCGCCTCCTCACCAGCCGCAGCCCGCGGCCCAGCTGCACCGCACCACCAACTTTTTCATCGATAACATCCTAAGGCCCGATTTCGGTTGCAAAAAGGAACAGCCCCTGCCGCAGCTCCTGGTGGCGGCGGCGGCAGCCGGAGGAGGCTCCGGAGGAGGAGGAGGAGGAGGAAGCCGCGTGGAGCGTGACCGAGGCCAGACTGGTGCAGGTAGAGACCCTGTCCACTCGCTGGGCACGCGAGCTTCGGGCGCTGCCTCGCTCTTGTGCGCCCCGGATGCGAACTGTGGCCCACCCGACGGCTCCCAGCCGGCCACCGCCGTCAGCGCGGGAGCATCCAAAGCCGGGAACCCGGCTGCTGCGGCGGCGGCGGCGGCAGCGGCGGCGGCGGCCGCGGCGGTAGCGGCCGCGGCGGCGGCAGCATCGAAGCCCTCGGACAGCAGCGGCGGCAGTGGAGGCGGCGCAGGGAGTCCCGGGGCGCAGGGCGCCAAGTTCCCGGAACACAACCCCGCCATCCTCCTCATGGGCTCCGCTAACGGGGGGCCGGTGGTCAAGACTGACTCGCAGCAACCTCTAGTTTGGCCCGCCTGGGTCTACTGCACACGCTACTCGGACCGTCCGTCCTCTGGTGAGTACCCCAGCCACAATGTGCCTCTCTTTCTCTGGCCGGGGGCCCTGCCCCAGGACTCCAGCCCCGCTTCCGGAGACAGTAAACCCAGCTTGTAAGGCTCTCACTTCACATCTGACTTCTCCTCTAGCCCCAGGTCCTAGTCACAGTCGAACGTGCGCTCGATTCTGCCATGCTGGCCTTTCCCACCTCTCGAGAAAGTTACAGCTTCTGGCAAGCACAGGAGGTTCCAGTTTCTGCCCTTTGGTTCTCCGAACTCTGAGCCCTGAGGTCTTTGTTTTATGTTTATTATCTTCAAGAGAGATACGTAATTACTCATTGATTTATTTTTTAGGGAAAGGTTGCTTTGAGCTGGCTGGCGGGAAGATAGGCCTAGTGACTTAAATCTGCAATCTACCACCTTAGTCCTGTCAGGGCCAGGTTTGGCATGGGAACTCGACCATAGAAATCATCTTTGCCGTGTGTTCGTAGCAAACACTATAGATATTATTCTGTGGAGAGTCCATTTACATAAAGACAGATACGGGGAGACAAAGAGGGAGAGAAAAGCTCCATCCCTTGCGCCCAGCCGGGGTATGGTGAGTCAACCCGCGTGGGTAGAATGCAGAGCCAGCCTGTAGCCAGAAAGGTGAGCAGTCACTGCTCGCTGGAGCTGGCAGGCCGTGGGAGAGGGAAACAAGCAGGCCAGAGTCAGGCTTGAAAGCTGGGATATGGGCAGGAAAATCAGCGTTTCCCCGGCAGGGCTCCCCTGACCCTTCGGCCTTGGCTTCTTCCTTTCACTCTCTCCTTCGCAAACCTGCCGGTCAGTGACTATCTACTAGTCTTAGGGCAATTCTCTGCTAGAAGCACATGAGAGGCTAAGACCTACCCAGGGACAGCTGGGGGACCCTGGAAGAGGAGGCTCAGGCCTGCGGCCCCTTGCACGGACCAGGAGTTCCCGTGAGGCCAGCGCCGGCCGCAAGGAGAGCAGCAGGGGCTTGGGTCCACGGTCAGCATTGAGCCCGCCAGGGGGCCGGGCAAAAGGTAGCCACAGGCGCCTCTCCGCTTGCTGGTCTCTTGCAACCGTGCTGCTTCGGGCCGGGTACGGATCGATGCGCGCTATCAGCCCCCGCCATCTCGAGCCCCGTTATTGACACGTCGGGCTCCCTGAACCTCCGAAAAGCTGCTTTGATTGACTCGCCTGATGGATAGAGTGATTGAGCTGTCAGGCTGAGTGGGTCGGGCCGGCCAGGAGGCTACGATTTTATTACAAGTGTCCGTGCCTCTGCACACACGCACACAACAACAACACTACAACATGCTCCGGACGCACCTCCCGCAGCGGAGTCTCCTGGAGGATGCGCACATTTCTTGGGCAATCTCTGCCTGCTCGGTTCATCTAA